CTCCAGCAGCTACCGCCAACACCATTTCCCCTCCATCACCAGTGCCCCCCCCGGCTTCTGTCTCTTATACACATCTAGATGTGTATAAGAGCCTCCTCCTCCTCCTCCTCCAAAGCTCTTTGCGCAGAAGATCGTGCATTCACTACTACTACTCCCATATCTGCCTCCACTTCCCCTTCTCCCTCAACCCGCTCCACCTTCATTTCTACCCCACCCATCTGTAAATTCATTGCCATTCCCATTACTTCCGCTCTTACTCCTCGTGCTAACTTTGCGGTCTCTTCTCCCCTGTCGTGCATTTCCACCTCCCTTACATTCGGACAGCACTCCTCATCTTGGGGACCACCACCACCATCACCGTCATCATGACCCTCGTCATGACTAGCGGATTGCCGACAAGCTCCTCCTCCTCCTCCTCCTCCTCCTCCTCCTAATGGAAAAGACCACCGTTCTGCTAGCCGCCTTTGACGAGTCCCTGTCCCTAACAAAGACGGTGGTAAAGAAGGCACAGGAGGTTCTTTCGCACCACTAAACACAGCTTTCTCAGTACAAGGACTGGTGATCTGGGTCTGGGGCTTCATGTTGTGGTCCTCATCACCCTTGGAGCTGCTTTCTCGCATCCCTAGCCAAGACAAGAAGACGCTGTGTCGGAGGTGGATGGACTTTTTGGCAAACGGAAGATCAAAGCAACCAAACAGCGACTCCTGGCAGCAATCCTCATCCTCTCGTTGATGATAAAGAGACAAGAGATTCTGAAAAGCGGTGCCGAGGTTCTGAGCATCAGGCTGGCCAAGCCACTGCTGCAGTTTCTTCTCCGACTTCTTCTTCTTCTTCAAAGAAGAAATCACACCGTCACGATCATCAGCATCGCCCAGAAACATCTTCGTCGGCGGTGCTTCCTCTTCTTCTCCTTGTACACCTTTGCGTTCTTGATCGGATGGAAGTCCGGGGCGGATGGCACCCAAATCTCCTGAGGAATCCCCTCCCCACTCCTTGTCCTCCTCCTCCTCCTGCTCCTGCTCCTGCTGCGGCTCACCCTCAACCACTTTCTCAGCTGTGGCTGATGCCCCCCAACTCTCTCTCCTCATATTCAAGCTCGCACTCATAATCATCCTCTCCTCACCACCATCTTCCTCCCATCTCCCCTCCCCTCCTCGGATACCCTCATCACCCACAGTGCCAACTTCTTCCCCACGTCCGACCCCCCCTGGCCCACACATGCTACTCCGCCGAAGCCCTGCACGCGTTGTCACCGAACTGGCTTCCTTGCCCATGTCTGATGAGCCGCCGGGCACCATAGCCACAGCTTTGTACTTCGCATACATTTCTTGCCCAGCGAGAGCTGGCGATATGTGCAGCTGACTCAGCAGCGCGCGGACCGCCGTCAGCGCCACGGCGCTCATCTTTACCTCGTCCTTGATAGCCTTTGGCAGCTGCACAGGCGGCACCGCATGCGAACCTTGGAGCCCGACCCCTGCCCCCCCCCCTCCTCCTCCCCCTGCCCCTCTTACCGAGGATGCTGCAGGGGCCTTGCCCACGCCCGGAGGGGACTGCCCTCCGATAATCTCTGGCAATTGCTCCTCCTTTGCGCCCACGCACTTGTCCCCCTCCATGCCCACCTCGTCTCCTTCCTCCACCCCTTCGCCATCATCGCCTGGAAGCACGGCAACAGCAGGACTTCCGGTTTCCTCCAGTGCCAACGTGGTCGATTCAACTGCGGCTACCTCAGAAGGAGGGTCCGCCGTAGGGCCCGTCACAGACCCAAGCACCGGCGTTGTCCCATCGGTCGTCGTCGGTCCCGCGGGCGGGCCATCCTCATCTTCTGCTACAGAGCCCTCCTGGTGCTGGTACGCTCGGGCATTGCAGGCAGGATTAGTCTCCGGGTGGACCTGCTGATCCGCAATCGAGGAGGGAGCCTTCGGTGCCAACGGCGGGGCCGTGGCGCCAGCGTCCGCTCCCACATGCTCGGCCGGACCAGGTCCTTGTAGGCGGACATGATTCTGCACCAGGTTGTTCTCCCTCCTCCTCAACCCGATCTCCCCACCGCCGCGGTGAAGATCAACACGATGTTGCTGCCATCGGTTGTCGTGTTCCCAAGGAGCATGTCCCATCAAACGCTGATGAGCTAGGTCCAGGTGGGGACCACCACCACCCCCCAGTCCCCGCATCAACGCATCCCGACCAGGGACCCCTCCGTCTCGTCCCCCTCCCCTGTGATCCCATACATCCCGGTCCCAGCCGCGTCCGGCACCCAGATGCCCACCTAGACCTCCCGGTCCCGACACGCCTATCACCCCCCCCCCCGAAGGCCCGATTCCTCCGACCCCGCCCGGTCTGTCCCGACCCACTTTCATCCTATCGTCACCCATCTGACCCATGATCGAGTCCCAGCCGGCATCCATGACAGGACCGGGTCCCGGTCCCGACATAGGTGGGTGATGAGCCCGCCCATGATCCCCTCCTCCCATTTCTCCCTGGTTTCTCCACCCACCGCCGCCGCCACCTCCTCCACCTCCCCTCCCTTGATTACGGAACCGATCACCTCCATCCCCTCGCCCTTTCCCCGGCCCCGCGAATCGTCCGCTACCACCTCCCACTCCCCCCCCGCCCCCGCCCCCTACTCCTCCCGCTCCCCCTACTCCAACGCCGAAGCCCCCCATATCCACCGGCGGGCCCCGACCAGGCGGGAACGACGGCGGCGGTGGCGGTCCCGGGAACTGGCTTCCCCCTACGCCACCCGGGAACATGCCCGGGAACCCTACGGGAGGGGGCCCACCCCCAAACTGCGACGAGAACTGGCCGAATATAGCGCCAACCCCCGGATTGGGACCAGGACCAGAAACTGGTCCAGGCCCACCGGGGCCACCAGGAACACCAGGAGCTGCGCCACCTGGACCTGGTCCACCGGGACCACCGGGACCACCCACCCTGGAGTTCCATGAGCCGATGGGAGGCCCTCTCCACGTGTCTCCTGCACCTGCTCCGCCTCTGCCCCCAGGACGCTTCCTCTCCCCTCCTCTCCCATCGTCGAAAGAGAACCCGGCTGGTGCGCTTGTACCCTGCGGGGGCATGTCCATCGACGGAGGAGGTCGGAATGGGGTAGGAGGCAAGGGCGGACCAGGAGCGATCGGGATCGGAGCCAGCTGAGGCCGTCCCAACGGACTGTCGCCAGGTCTACCTCCACCTCCTCCCATCCCCCCACCCGGTCTGCGAATGTGTCCTGCCTGCTGCTTGGGTGACATGTCTCCCATTCCCATCATTCCTCCCCCGTCCTTCGGCCCTCCCCCCATTCCCCCTCCCTCCCCTCCGCCCGCTGCCGGCGGCATCCGACCTCCGCGACGATCCCCCCACATCCCACCCATGTCCATCGGCCTTCCTCGACCAGCATCCCTGCCAATCAAGGGCCCCCGCATGGGTCCTTTCCCATGAGGGGGAAGGAGATCTCGCGCGTCCACCCCGGGCGGAGGTGGGGCGCGCATGTTGCGCACTTGCGCCGCCGACGGCGGTGGACTTAGATTCCCTCCCCCTCCTCCCATCTCGCCAATCGACACGTCATACACCCCTCCGCCTCCACCTCCCCCCCCTACAGCTCCTCCTCCTCCCCCCGGTGCTCCCCCGACCCCAACTCCAGGTGGACCCAGGTCCTCTCCACGCAGCTCATCGTCAGGCACAGGAGGGCCCATCCAGCGGTGTGGCGGTTGTTGCTGCCCCAGAACGACCCCCCCATAGTCTGGCCCTTCACCCCCTCCACTCCCGCCTACCCCCCCAACCTCCACACCACCCCCCAGCCCCCCGCTCATCCCCGCGACTCCCATCCCTACAGCGCCGCTACCTCGACCTCCAGGGCCGCCGCTCATCCAAGCGCCGCCAGGACCACCTCTGCGCTGCATTCCCCCGCCTACCGATCCCATGCTCTGATCGAATGCCTCCTTTCGCATCGGCGGCCTTCCCCTTCCCATCCCCGGCGGGGGCGGTCCCGATACCAGAAGCGGCGAGCGTGACCTGCCTCGACTGATGGGCTTCCCATCGTACTCGTCTCCTCCCCTGTAGTCGACGTGCCCGTCATGATGGAGAGGCGGGGGTCCCGGAGAGCGCCTGCCACCTTCTCGGCGCACATGCAGGGAAGGTGGGGGCGGTGGGGGAGGGGGAGATCCGTACTCTCTCCCCCCCACCCCCGGCGGCCCGATGCCCATCCGAAAATCATCCCGATCTCTCTGCTCGCGATCCCTATCCCCGATGTTCATCCGATACTCGTCCCGATCTCGGGCGTCTCGCTCTCTCTCCCTCTCTCTCTCCCTCTCTCTCTCCCTTTCTCTCTCCCTCTCCCTCTCCCTCTCACTTAACGGACTGGGATGACGAGGCTGCGGCGGAGGTGGCTGCAAACGACGGCCACGTGTCATGCCCACGCCATCCGGACCCCCGGCGCCTCCTCCTACGCCTCCAACACCGCCGCCTGAACCAGGCCCGCCTCCTCTCTCTCTGTCTCTCTCTCTCTCTCTATCTCTCTCTCTATCTCTCTCTCTATCTCTATCTCTGTCCCTGTCTCTGCCCGTTGACTCTTGTCCTCTCTCCCTCGACAGAGACATCTCCCGCTCCCGCCCATCCATCTCCTCCACTTGCCGATCTCCTCGCTTGGATCCCCCACCAGCCCTTCCCGACCTCTCCTTCTCGTACTCCAGCGCCTTGTACCCCCCTCCGCCCCTATCCAGGTGCCTTTCCCTCCTCTCTCGACTGCCCCTCCTCATCCCTCTGGATGACCTTGGCCGATCTCTCTCCGCGTGGTATCCTCCCTCCCCCCCTCCTCCTCCCTCCCCTGACCCCTCTCCCCTGGTTTCCGCAAAATAACCGTCCAAAGCTCCTCCTCCTCCTCCTCCTACTCCTACTCCTCCATCACCTCGAGACCTTTTGCCAACAACCCCCCCCCCACCCCTCTCCGCTCCCGAATCCTGTTCAGACACGTCCCCTCCTCCTCCTCCTCCTCCTCCCCTTTCCCCTCCTCTCTCAACCTTTTCCCTCCCACCTCCCCTCTCTCCCCTCTCTTCATACCTGTTACTTTTGCCCCATTGTCGCCGCGTGTCACCACCCTCATTAGCTCTCTCCCTGTCTCGCGGCGGCCCGCTCGGCCTCTCCCTCTCCCTCTCCCTCTCCTCCTCGTAACACTGCTCCCCGACCCTCTCCCGCGCCCCGCCTCCTCCTCCTCCCCTCTTCTCCCCCATACGTTCCCTTGAGCTGCCTCGTGTAGGTCCCTCCTCACTTACATCCATTCTCTCCCTCTCCCTATCCCTCTCCCTCGCCCTCGACCGCGGACGCGCCTCGACGTCAACAGGGCGTTCCTCCTTGTTAACCTCCCTGCTGCGTACTTGCTCTTCGTCGAATGACTTGTCCCCTAGACTCCACATACTCCCTCTTCTCTCCTTCTCCTCGTAGACTAAGGCCCCCCTGCCCCCACCTCCTCCTCCTCTCCCTTCCCTGCCACCTCTACCCTCCCTCTCCCTTCCTCTACCTTCTTTCTCACGCACTCGGACAGGCACTGCCTCCTCCTCGAAACACTCAGCCGCCCTCCTCTCTCCTCCACCTTCCCTCCTTTCTCCTCCTTCCTTACGAGGATCTTCATCATCGTTTGCTGTCGTACCTCCTCCCTTCTCCTTCCCTCCTCTCTCCTCCTTCACATCCTGCAGGCCCCCCCCTCTCTCCATTCCTCGGTGGTGATGGTGGTGATGATGATGATTCTTACTCCCTCCGCCGCCACCTGGCACCTCTCCTCCCCCCCCCTCATCATACCCCCATCTCTCTCTGGCAAGGCCATCATCCGACGTCGCATCGTACCTCTTCTCCCGCCCTCGTCTTGCCCTCCCTTCGTCGAACGCCCTTCTCTCTCTCCCCTTTCTCCCTCCACTCTCCTCATACCCACCTCCTCCGAGTCCATCCTCCCCCCTATCTTCGCGCGCATGACGATCACCTCCCCCTCCGCCTTCTCCCCGCCCTCCACGTCCACTTGCCCTATGCTCTCTCCCTCTCTCTTTGTCTCTCTCGCGCCCACGCGACCTATCCTTCTCCTTTTCTCTCTCTCGATCTCTTCCCCTACCAGATGACACGTGTTCTCTCTCGTAATCGCTCTCATAATATCTGTCGTCCTCTGAAGACCTGCTGTCCGCTCTCGTGCCCCGCCCCCCTTCACCTTTCTCCTCGTCTCTGCTGCTGCGCCGACGGCTCTCATGATAGTACCCATCTCCGCCGCCGCCGCCGCCCCCGCTTCCACCCGTGCTGCGCCCTCTCCTGCCTCTCTCCGCGCCGACTTCCCCACCCTCCGACCTTCCTCCACCCGACCGCCTGCTCTCCCTCACGTACTCATCCCCTCCTCCTCCTCCGCGCCCCCCTCGCCTCTCCCCTGCTTCCTCCTTCCTCCTCCTTATTCTATCTTCCAGCTCTCTTTCCAGAGGCACGTTCCGTAGTTCGTCGTGCAGCTTGTATTCCTCGCCGCGACCCCGACCATCCCGATCCCGCTTCGTGTCTTGCGCTGCTTCTTCCTCTTTTCTGCGGTCCTCCGACCGACTCCTTCCGCGTGATTCCCTCCCCTCCTCCCTCTCCCGCTTTCTCTCTTTTCCACTTGCACTCTTCTTGCTACCTCCGCCACCTTTTCCTCCTCCCCCTCCCCCCG